GATACAATACATCTTCCTCTTCCCATAGTGGAATATCAGGAAGACATGCAGCCTCTTTTGCGAATTTATCAGCAAGACTATTACCATATGCCAAAGGTCCCTTAGATCTGTGTGCTTTAACCTTGACGAGTTTGATAAAGCCTACATGATCTTTTGACAAATCCTGTATGCGTTCCCATAAGCCTTTGTGCTGTACTATACTGCCATCAGTGGACTGCCATTTATTGTTGACCCAAAACGTAAGAAGAATCAAAGCTCCTCTGAAAACATACATAGAGTCAGTGACTACAAAGTGTGTACCACCTTTCCCAATTTTGTCTCGGATCAAAGTTAGTAGTGCAGCCAATTCAGCAAACTGTGCTCCTGCATTTTTACAAGCATACTGAAACAAATCAAGAATAGTTCTACCTTCAAGAAGTACACCTGCAAAACCTGTCATGCGCTTACCATCGATGACTGATGAACTAGCATCAATGTACCAAACAGGGTTATTTCCCACATCAGCAGGGCTGCCCTCTTTGAAAACAGAATGTGCTTTAGGAGCAATCATAGGATGACATACATGATCCTGACCTTGAATAAGAACACCCAACACATGTACAGAGGGTTCCTTTAACGGTTCCACTGTAATGTGTTCAGTGAGCAGCGTAGTCATCCATCTCACCACACGTTCATTACGAATGTCACTTAAAGCCAAATTATGTTTTTTCAGCAAAAGCAGGGGATTATGATGTGAACGAATCACAATGTGCTGACCGCTGAGAAGATATCTCAGTCTTTGTATGGTCCAGTATGTAGCTAGGGCAATTTTTTCACAAGGACCAAATTTCAATTCAGGTGATGTCATTTTGCGACTTAAGTATGCAATAGGGGCTAGTATATCACCATGGTATTGGGCCACTACTGCACCAAGTGTTGTATCAGACACACTAGAGTATAAATAAAATGGTTTGTCTGATGCTGGAGTGCCCAAAACGGGTGCACTAGCTAATGCAGATTTGAGGGAGGAAAATGTCTGTGTATGAGAATCATTCCATTCAAATTTGTTTTGTTTCAGTAGGTCAGATAATGGTTCTGCAAGCAAAGCATAATTAGCAACAAATTCTCTGCAAAATCCTGTAAGCCCAAGAAACTGCTGTAAAGATTTCACATCTACAGGTCTTGGTAGGGAAAGAATATGTTTAACCCTATCTTCAAGAATACTTCTGCCTGTTGGACCAAGTTCCAATCCGAGGTAATTAACCTTCTGTTGGACCAACTGACACTTGTCAGGGTTAAGTTTCAAGCCATGCTTTTTAAGGCATTCCAAAACCTTTTTTAACAGTTTAATGTTACTCTCTCTGGAATCATTAGCTATTAACAAGTCATCAACATACTGAACAATTTTGTTATGCAAATTATGAGACTTTAGAGCTTGAGCTAACATGCTGTGAAAAATTGCAGGGCTATCACAGTAACCTTGAGGAAGAACTGTCCAGCAATACTGTTTAGACTGAAAAGCAAATGCAGTACGATACTGAGTTTCAGGAGTGACTTGTACACTATAAAACCCATTTGCAAGATCTAACACGGTATAATACTGCATTTCAGGAGTTAATTTAGCAATCAGTTCAGGGTAAGAGGCCACAACAGGTGCTGTTCTAAAAACTGTCTCATTTAGTCGTCTGTAATCAATGGTTAAACGCCAAGTGTTGTCTTTTTTACGAATAGGCCACACAGGACTCGAGCCTGCAGTTTGGCATGGTCGAATTAACCCACGCTGTAACAATTGGTCAATGATAACTTCTAAATCCTTTTCTGCCTCACGTGGAATTGGATACTGTTTAACATATGGGTGGTGTGTACCATCCAAAGAAACCATTAATTGTGATTTACCACAATCTAGACTATCTTTGGCCCATACATCGGCATATTCATGCCACCAAGATTCTGTATCCACAGGAGGAGCAGGAGGGTGTTTGATTTTAATACCCTTTACGGCCCCAACATCCTCATGTGGATAGACAACATGCACAGGAGGCAAATTGGAGCCTAAACCGATCCGAGTATGCTCAGAAGGGCTAGTACTCCCCTCAATATTCCAAAGCATGTGATTCATTAAATCAATGATAAACCCAAACTTTACAATATCCGGAGCTCCCAACAGAGATAACGCATCTTTTTCCAAAAACACATCAGAACGTATAGTCTTAGAGCCAATCTTCAACGTCCTAGGTTCAACATACACTGTTTTTGGCATGCCAGTAACCCCCACAATGCAAGCAGTAGTAAATTTGCTAGTTTTTGGTGTACCAGATATTAGTGTAGCAGCTGCCCCTGTATCGATTAGAGTGTTAATTTTCTCCCCATCTACCAACATAGTACACATTGGTCGTCCCCATTTATCTAGATCCAGAGGCCAGTCGAGACAAAGAGGAGAGGAGAAAACACATCCCTAGCAGGAGGAGAGGGGTGGAAGGGAAGTTGTTAGAGTTGCAACAGGCATTAAATTAGCTTGCTCTACTTGTTTTCTAAGTAACTCAACAGAATGTTGTAACGCTTTTTGAGATGCAATAATATCCCTCAAGGGAATCCACTCACCATCTTTTCCTATGCCACGTCTTGTAGTATTAAATCTACCTCTAAAACCACCCCGTCCACGGTACTGTGGACCTTCTGTCTGCCAAGTATTAGAGGCATTATTTAATTGCTGTCCATCTCTCCAAGATCTTTGAGCCTGATATGTTATTTCAGAAATCGGAGAGGGTTTAGAATATCTATCCATTTCAACTTGCAAACGGTCAAGCCATGAATTAAGGTCAACATTCCTCAGGTCACCGTAACAGATGGTCATAACATGAGAAATGTTACTTGGTACAAGAGTGAAAATTAACTCCCGCACTGCTGGATCCAATTTAAGGTCAGCTTGTATTTCAGAACGTTTTTCTGAAGAAGTAGCCCCATTAGTAAGAGCAGCAAGGAAAACAATTACTCTGTTAGCAGTTTCTGTGATAGACTCATTAGGAAGTGAGATAAAAGCTTTGTTAATCTGGAACGGACTAGACAAATGAAATAGTTTATGGCAACACCGTTCTAACAGCTGAGAAAAAGTTTGTGCAAAACCTTCTATGACAGCTGAACAGGATCCCAGACCTTTCAGAAAAATCTCTATTAGTTGTGAATCCGAAGAACCCCAGCGAAGGAGTTTTCCGATCCAATGTGTGAATCTATTGAAATCCTCAATAGTACCCTTATTTACAGGAGCTTGTCCTATTTCAGATAAGACAGCCCTGGCTTCTGTCGCTTTCACAGAAGAAGGTGCTGTCATGTGTACATTAACAGGATCAGAAATAACAACATGTCGTTTAGTTTTAGCCTCTTTAAGGTCACTTTGCAGTTGTTTGTTAGCAGTCTTAAGGTCTTGTGTAGTATCATGCAATATGCTAGTAGTCTTTTCTTGTTTTTTAGTAGTAGCCTTAAGTTTGTCATTTACCCGTTGTAACTCGTCATTGTCAAGCCTAAAACGTTCAAGGTCAGTTTTAGTCTCAGTTAATAGTCGTGCAGCTTCAGACAACTCTGCTTCTAAGTCTCGTCTCTGCTGGTGTTCTTGTGAAAATGATTGTTTTACATTATGTAAAGTCATTTCCATATCATTATATTCTTTTTCTATTCTAGCATGATGTGCAGAAATTTCCTTCAATTTGTCATCTGATAACACTTCGTTAGCCTCTAATTGAGGACCACGTGTTATAGGATTACAAGGAACAAGATTAGTTTTAGAAAATTCAATTGGCAATTCTGGATACAAATGTGTATACGTGGGAGGAGCAGAGGGGACAGAAATTGTTTGTGAAGGAAACTCAATATTTTCATTTTTATGCTCCATCCACATAGCAATGTCGTCTTCATTAATTAAAGCAGAAGGAAGATCGACTGACAAGGTGGCAATCTGATACCATTTGTTTTCATGAGCAACAGGGGATTTTTTAAATATAGCACTTCCCCGAGCCTTACCTCCTAGTTTTAAAGAAGGACAGTGCTTAGTACGCAGGCATTGTAAGGTGTCTACAGCTTGATCAAGGATAATATTTTTGGATTCTAAATTATGAACTTTATCTTGTAAGAATCCAGCAGCGTGAGCTGCATTTTGTGCCTGGGTGCGGTAATCTTCTAATTGTACATGCAGCGTATCAATAAGAGAAGCTTGCAGATTAAAACTAACTTGCAACTGTTCAATCATTTGGAGGGACATCATTAGCATATCTAGTAAAGCTTGCAAACTTCTACCCTTTTTTACTTTGTCATCTTTAAGCTGCATTATTGAGGGTAATACTTGAAAAATGTCCTCTAGAAACAGTGCATCACTTATATTTTCGCCCAACTTAAATGGACCTCCATATTTTTTTATCCAACATTTTATATATTCTTGAAACACAGAAGGGAAAGAAAACAAAACAGGGGAATTAACGGATCTCTGTTCAGTATTTAAATCAATAGGGTCACATGATCTAGATTCAAGATTACCTATCCTATTTGGAAACTTAAAGAAAGACATACTTACAAAACGAGGATCCTTCCAACAACTGAGTACACCGTGTTCTCCACTGCAAAAGACACGACTAAACCACCCAAGGACGAGGCCCCCAGAATGTCGGTTTTCGGTGATCCTTCAATATTGATAGTTATGGCTCGCTTCAGGTATGATGTGGACCTTTACCGACAAAAGGTCACTCCGGGTCATTCTAAGCTTAGTGTGTCTTTATGCAATCTATAGCTGTATACGGAGCAGACCCTTCCGTTCCCAAATTACTTATAAATACTGTTTTCCTTAACCATTCTAGATGATAACTTGACTATCACTAAAATAATCCAGTGTCTGAAGACCCAAAAGGCACTGTAATAATATTGTAATAAATGAAACAATGACTCAAATAAATATAAGATAAAAGTGTATTGAATGAATGTTACAGAATGCAAAATAGTCAGTAAATAATTAATCTTACCAAATGTATTAGTGGCTACAGCATATGTCCCTGTATACCTTTCAGATGTGTGGTGACAGCAGGCAGAGTAAGAGTAGATGGATGAATGAATGAATGGTGAATGAATGACAACGTCACACTCTTTCTCCTTCAGTTAAATAGCCATTTTGTCCTCCATAAAGCAGCCCCCACCTGTGTAATACTCCCAAAAAGGTATTCTAACTTGTTGCAAGATGTAATGTATTGAATATCTACGTTTGGGATATACCCTAGATGGCTCTGCCTATAGTTAGCTTCAAAATTAAGTGTTTTGTATACATTTGACTGACAACACATGTGTTTGTTCTAATTTAACTTCAACCTTTTAGCTGTTAACCTTGTGGAAATGTCATTGAAAATTTAACTTTTTCAAATCTAAGCAAAAAGGCCTGCAATATTTCATACACCTATGTTATACAGCTAAATGTACATTCATATTAGATATATATATGCACCATACCATATAATACATATATATATTGCAAACTACACATTAAATAATGATCAACACTCCACATAGACAAGTAGAGGAAGGGGTAGGGGCATTCATCAGGCCGCTACCTATTTAGGTCTCTGCTACATCTCTTGCTAATTGGGTGAAGGAAGACCCCTAACGGACCTCTTTTGTAATGTAATTTTTATTAAAAACATAAAAGAAAGATGATCAGCTCATTCCAGGTTAACTAAGCCAGTGTTTTTATACTTTTTACCTTTCAAATGATGTGGACTCACATACCTGATAATCTATTATTTATTAACACCGCTGAAACAAGGTTTCACTTTTTGAAGCTGTTAAAATCTACTTATGTCTTTTTCCATGGGATCATTGCATCCTGGCATCATGCACTTACAGAGAGAGAAAACCTCTCTCCTTTGGAATAACTAATTTACACATTTGTTTTACTAGGTTACAAGCATTACTAATTATGGCCTCAATTTAATTACTTTGAATAATAATCAGCAATGAGTGTGGTAACAATATGCTAGCTGTGAAGTTAATGCAGGGAGAGCAACATAAAGGCTTTCTATTAGAAAAAACTTTTAAATAATTTATCTATAAAAGTCACAATTCAAGTGGAAGGGGATTTTATAAATACATAATTTAAAACATTTATTTTTCTATCTGAATGGAATAATTTCTGATTCTGATTCAAACTAGTTAAATCGAGCTCAAAACATGAGGTAATGAAAAATGTTTTTTTACAAATGTGCAATACAAACTTTTACAAAGTTATAAACTAAACACTAGATTTTATGCGGATGGATAAAATCAGGTGAAAATGGCAGAATTCCGACCGTAACGGAAATTCTCATATTTACTAAAGTTAAAAAAATGGTTTAAATTCAGTTAGCCCGAACGAATCTGCAGCAATCGCATTCGGTGTCCAGATTAAAATGGTGTTTTCACATTCACAAAGCATTGATATTAATAAAATGTAGAACCAAATACATCTGGTTGGATGCACATTTGCAAATTATTGCTTACTGGCTTTGTTTGCAAGTGAATTGCTAATTTTAAGTACTATTTGCCCACTGGTAGTGATAGCAGTCAACAGGCAAATAGTTTAAAACCCTCATTGGTGCGAGGGTTGAATATGTGGCAGGTGGCCAGTGCCTGATAATCAGAAGCAACATAAAAATAGTTTTCAAATGTATTATTCTGTGTCAACAGATTTATTATATTACATAAATATTTTTTTTAAATGTTGTTTGCCTGCTTAAATCTAAAAAGCAATTATATGTATTTTATATTTTAGTTTTGTTGCAAATGTACTTTATTTTTCAATCTCTTTTAAAGATCAACTTATGATCCTTTATGTCTTAAAAAAAAAGCAATTTTTATTTTCTTATACATTTGCTCAATTCAATACAATAACTATGTTAACATGTAGCGTTTAGATGTGCCTCTTAATGTTTGTTTTATTTTATTCTGTTTCATTACAGAGTGCTTAGCTGGCTCTATTTACACTCCAGTAAACACACCCACGTCAACTTCAGCTGACAGTGGGAGAAACTTGCTCGTCCTGTTGGGTGTTTGGATATGTCTGTGTTATTAACAGAAGATCTGATCTCAATGAGACAATGTAAGCACCCCAGGCAGTAATGTCTGTACCTGAATGACTGCAAGGATTAAACAGGGCCTACAAAAATAAGAGGGTGGCGAATATGTGCTTTCCCACATTTACTAAAAAGTGTTTAAACTATGGAAAGATCACCCCTGGCTGAAAATACAGCTTTATTGCTTTTAATTGTCCTATGCATGATTTAATTAATGCATTAGCAATCAAAATAATCATAAATGTTGCACAATATTCATAAATGTTGCAAAACATATTACTAATACAGAGGCAAGTCTCCATAAAAGTCGCACTTGTTATTTTTTTTGGTACTATTTTGGAGTTTCAAGCTATTACTGGCAATGTGATAAAACAGCAAATAAAGTCAATTACCAGCTATCCAACTACGTAATTGCTAGTGCAAAGACCTTAATATTTTTTTTTCCATTCTTTATTTTTGTTCATATCGCATGCATACAGCTTTTTGACTGCATTATATGGCCATATGTAGGAGACATGGAGTAAAAACATTATACAGGTAAATCACATTAGCCATAGATGCGTAACCGCTTAGCATCAGGTTTGTGTATGCGACATGAGATTTTTGATAGGAAAAGTGTGGGCTTAAGTAAAACTGGTAGAAGGAATGGATATCAGTACACAAATAATCTTTACATCCTATACATTTACAGTGTTGCGTGTTGTCGAGCATTGCTAGGAAGAAGTATGTTACGCTGTGTGTGCGTCAGGAACTTATACAATGCTAGTTCAAGCGATACTGGTCCCTGTAGGCAGCAATGTGTACACAGATATATATAGAAGGGGGTTGGGTGAATCTTGGCGGTGTTACTGCTTTGTAAGTGTGCCTACAGGGCCAGGGAAATAACAAGACTTATTAACTTAAAAACTTTGAAACTAAAAAAAAAATTAACAATGTCTGTCAATTATGACATGAGGAAAATCAACAGTTAGTTCAGACGGTGTCAAGCTGGAGGGTCCGCCAACCCCGCCATGACTCTCCTTGGGACAAATGGGGGATCTCTCCTACCGCCCGTGTTCTTCTCTCATGTGGTGGAGGAACTGCTGCCGAGATTCCCAAAGCTTGGAGGAAGGCAGGTGCGTCTTGAAGAGTCGAGAGAGGGAACTTCTTGTCGCTCTTTTCTGCCACTAGGTGGTGTGGGCCCCATATGTACGGGATCTCAGCCTCTCTCAGTAGCTTTGTGGTGGAGCGGAGTGATTGCCAACAGTGCATGGTTGCTCTTGAAAGATCCTTATAAAAGGACAGCTGTGAGCCCTCAAAAGATAGCGAGGGAGATACTCTTGAGGCATCGAGGACTGCGGATTTATCAGAGTCTCTTTGAAATTGCAGGAGCATGTTCCTAGGTGCCTCTGGCGGTGCCTTAGTTGCCTTGGGCAGTCGGTGGCATCGGTCAGTGGCAGCTTGCTTGGCTTGCTTGGGCGTTAGCAATGTGGCCAGCAGTCGCCGTACATAGTGGGTTAGTTCATCTGGTGATACGGACTCCGGTATGCCTCGGATCCTGACATTGCAGGCTTTGGCTCTGTCCTCCAGACTTGCCAGTCACATGCTCATTTCACTGCACTTCTTTTGCAGAGCATGGAGCGCAGCATCTGTGGCTGATTGTGCCAAGTGTGTACCCCCTAGTTCTCCCACCACTGCCTGGACCCGGCCTGTCAGCGTAGACCTTAATATTTTAATGGGACACTGTAAGCAGTGTAACTCTTTCATCTCATTGATACAGTGCCTTTAGTCCGCTGGGACAATCCTTCCATTAACCATTTTCAATTCTTAATGCTAAACGTGAGTACCCACAGCCCTTCAATTGAGGAAGTATTAACTTTCACATAAATGGGTGGCTGTGATTGGTTGAGAGTGTCAGATAGCAGCTTCCAGCCTTCAAAAGGAATAAATGCAGGCAACACTCAAATAGTACGAATGGTATATTTATTGATAGGTGAACCAGCCCATAGAAAGTGTAATGTTTCGGCTCAGCAGAGCCTTAAAGGACCACTCTAGGCACCCAGACCACTTCAGCTTAATGAAGTGGTCTGGGTGCCAGGTCCAGCTAGAGTTAACCCATTTTTTCATAAACATAGCAGTTTCAGATAAACTGCTATGTTTATGAATGGGTTAAGCCTTCCCCTATTTCCTCTAGTGGCTGTCTCATTGACAGCCGCTAGAGGCGCTTGCGTGCTTCTCACTGTGATTTTCACAGTGAGAGCACGCCAGCGTCCACAGGAAAGCATTATGAATGCTTTCCTATGTGACCGGCAGAATGCGCGCGCAGCTCTTGCCGCGCATGCGCATTCAGCCGACGGGGAGGAGAAGAGGAGGATCGGAGGAGGAGAGCTCTCCGCCCAGCGCTGGAAAAATTTAAGTTTTAACCCCTTTCCCCCTTCCAGAGCCGGGCGGGAGGGGGACCCTGAGGGTGGGGACACCCTCAGGGCACTATAGTGCCAGGAAAACGAGTATGTTTTCCTGGCACTATAGTGGTCCTTTAATCATGCAGCTTTCAGCCTATCACAGTACCCAATCAGGTTTGAATCACTATGGCTAGAAGGAAGTGTGCAATCTCTGCCTTAGTCATACCTCCAGTGAGGATATGCTATGGAAATCCAGTGACCTTCGAACAGTGTTAAACCTCTCAAAAATGGTTTAGTACTGAATGGAGAGACAGTGCCAGGGGACATCAGACAATATAACCAGTTCATTGAGATAATACAGTTATGGTGCCTACAGTGTCCCTTTAAGTATCAATGGTGGTCTATTCCACCATTGCTATCTGTTCTTTAAGAATACTTTTCAAATAGTTTATATTGAAATATTTAAAAATTTTGCAATAAAATGAACAATCAATATGAGATAAGTAAAATAAATAAATAATAAGAAGAAATAATACTAAAGAAGATTTTCAGATTTAAGAAGCTAGACAGGTGAAACTACATTTTTGCTTAGAGTACACAGGGACAAGACTGGAATGACAGCAACGTGTAACTTTTGGTTCTTAAGGGAGTAACACAGGAGAAAGATGTTACCAAACTCTCCATAGAATCACACGCAACCTCCATAAATTATTATGTTATCACCAGCAACCACTACTTTTCTTGTGAAACCAACTTGTATATTTATTTAGTCATTTTAGATCCCTGCAGCAGGTTAAAAAAATGTTACATGACAAAATAATGAATATACTGTAAATTATTGGCCATATTTTTGGCCATCTTTGTGAACTTAACGGTCAACATTTCACAGAGTGATGCAATACTGAAGCACATATTACACATAAATTATCCTGTGCGGATAAACTCGCCACTCCTTTTTATAGATATAAGGTACATCTGGCAAATTCATTTACTAAACACAAATCAGCCAGCCAGCTGCTAAGTATACACAGACC